TAAAATGAATACAAATAAAAAATAAAATGAATACAACAAACAAACTATTTTGCACGAAGAAACCCATATTGTGGAATTATTTATGGAGACAAGGGCACGGACTTTGATTTATGTATGCAGCTTGTATGTCGTTTCAGATATTTGCAATTTAAATAAAACTGGTTAAATGGCCTGACGATGGCGATCGGAAAGAAGCGTTTGGATATGAGGAAATATAATGTTTGTGGAGTTAAATTTACAGGAAATTGTAAAAATTAAGAATTTTATGCTTTTAAATAGTATTTTTCTAGTAGATACGTTGTTGGATGTATCTACAATTTCTAATCAATATTAATTTCTTTATGCAGGACTGCTTATTTTTTCTATATAAACTGAATGTAGTTAATAAATATAATTATTCTCATAGTCGTCTTCATAGGCATTTAAATATATTTTTTTAAAAATCAATTCATTTGCTTATTATACTATATAAGATTTTATAATAACGGGCGTGGTTTTCAAAAAGTACAATTTCAGATTTTTTAACAACGATTGACTTTTCCCATTTTTAAAGATAGTATTCATTTTTTGTGAAATAGAAGATAATAAGTAATAGATTACAAACTTCTACTAAAAATATGAACTTTTTTGAGACTTTATGAGTCTATGAATTAGATCATCATATAGTTATATGATGATGATAATTCATCTATTGCGCCTGAAGTTCAAGGAAGCTTTCAATTAACAATTCATTGATATAATGACATACATAGCAATTTTACTTCTTCAGTTTATCTCTAAAGGTGATACGGATTAAATGTTTAACATGTTCTTTTTATTATATTGAATTTTTACGCCTACCTTGAAATGGTCAATAAGTAAAACTGTGCCAAAAATAGATTTTAAAACTGTATTTTAACTTTATTTCTAAAAATTAATATTTGTATATTAGGACTTTTTTTAAATTAATTTTTGCACATGGCGCCTAATAATTATTTCTATCGAGAAAATATCTTGTGCAAAACAATTTTGCATAAGTGTCAATGAACTACTAATGAATATTACTATTTCCTTACATAAACAGTTCTACGTAAACACCATTGTTCGCAAATATTTTAAAATAAATGACCGTCCGTTTGAAATTCAGCTAGCTTTGATACATAACATTTTTGAAATTTATTTTTCTTTTTAATTTTATAAGAATTATGTAATTACGATCTTGTGAATGAATTTGCAATTTTTTAAATGTACTAATTTGATAAACTGCGTGACTCCGGAATATCCGATTCGAAACTGGAGCAAAAATCGTATCATTAGCGTTGACGTATTTTATAATGATTTGTTTACTGAACTTTGATACCTTTCACTATCATATTTATTACGTCATATAAAAACAAAATTTATATATATATATATGTATATATATATATATGTAATATTTTTTAGATGATATGTTGATTAACAAAATACTTCTTAATAGCCATCCATCCAGATAATAAAATAGAAACTAAACTAAAATATATTTCTAGAAATAATTTTATTAAATCCATACGTTTCGAGTCCCAATTTGACTCTTCCTCAGTGGAACAAAGCACACAAGTTATTATGGTACAAACACAAATAAAAACATGATCGATGGAAACATAACTTCACAACAACCTTCAAGTCAAATTGGGTCTCGAACGTATAGATCTATTAAAATTATTTTAAGAAACAAATTTTAGTTTTTCTGATTTTATTAACTGGATGGATGCTTGTTTCGAAGTGTTTTGCTTAATAAACATATTTATAAAGTAAAATCTATTCTAACATACTTTTTTCATTAAAACAATATTATACGATACTTTGTATCTTGATTGCTATTATAAAAAATATATTCAGAAGCTAAATTTTTTATAGCGTCATTTGTTATATTTTATAATTATATAATTTCCTGCGCCAACATTTTTAATATTATGTAAGGACAAGAGAAGTTCATTCACTTTCTCTTATCAGTTTGGTGATAAGATGCATTTGGCCTTTGTGGTAGTTAAGGGTTCACCATATGTTCGATAACATAATAGTTAGGATTGTCTGTTTTAAACTTTTGTATATTACAAATTATCAGTATTAGAGAAATTGTAATAATAAAATATAACAAATAGAGATAAGCTAAGTATATTGGATTGGATTTGAAAAAGCCATAGAAAAGCAACATAGTTAGGAGTTTAAGTTTTCATAGCTATTCAAGACTATTACAATCAAAAATATTAAGGGAGAATCAAATGTAACTGTAAACAATTTAACATTTTTTTTATTAAAAGTTTGAAAAATATATTCCATATAATAGTGTTAATAATTTCCATTTTATAAATATTTAGGTATTTTAGCAAATTTAATCATTAAAATGGCGATGTACCTACTCATGTAATATGGTAAACTTTTTAGTTAGATAAATTTATTATAATTCTTGACGTACTCCTTGCTAAATTTCTGAGGAATCTCGATCATCCGACACTATTAAAAACTAGAGGGTTTCAGGTTAATGGAATGTTCGGATCATTGGATTACAGTGAAAAAATAATTTAGAAAGAAATTAGAAAAAAAAACAGCTAATTTCAACAAAATTGTCCAGAACTTTGATAACCTTAACTTTAATCTTAGAATTTTCGAAGTTGTATTTTCAAGAAATTGCTTTTTTTCATAGTGAATATTATCTCGCCAACCGTCATTTTGCTTTGAAAAAAAGAACTTTCTTCCGAGTAAAATATGAAATAACCTTAGCCTTAACCAATACTTAAGAATTTTCTAAGTTATATTTTCAAAAAATTACTTTGTTTTTATAGTTTATATTATTCCGCCAACCGTCATTTTGCTTTGAAAATTCATTCTTTTTCCGAGTAAAATAGGAAATTTCCAATAAAATAATGGTATAAAAAGTTTTGAAGGGTATCATTAAAATTATATTTATTTTCAGATAATATTATTAAATATACATTTAAGTCCAAATTGATATCGTTTGTGGCTTACATAAATTGCGCACGTGTTTTATCATATGGTGTTTATAATTCAATCAATCATAATGTAAATAATCATTTTTGTTAACGAATTTATTTTTACGATATTTATTTTGCGACTACTCCATAAAAATAAGTTCTGAACGTTTTGAATAAGATGACAAAAAATTAATTACTTCTTATATTATCAAGAAGTTGTTAACGAAACACACATTTTTTTAGAGATTCTGTTTTATGAAAAACAAACAATTAAAATAAAATAATAAACTAAATAATAAATAAGTGAACTAAAAATTAAATAATAAATTTATTTCACATGACAAATTGTAAATGAAATATAAGTTTTGTTTTACAATTTGTTAACCACGTGACTGGCTACTTAATTTTATTATTTAACTCTTGGTTCATTATTTCATTTTATTGATTTGTTTTCTTCTTTAAACAATGTCTTTAAATTGTGTGTTGTGTTTCTTCCTGGTTTGAATTTGTTCAACGTGCTGAATGATGACACACATACAGTCGAAACGTACATAATAAACGGTTAATTATTTAATACACATTTCATGAAAATATTTCTAGAGTAAGTCGTAGATACACATTACATTTAGTATATTAATATTTTGATTTCACTTCCTTATTGACGTGGAATTAGTTTTTTTTTTTACAAAATACCGTTTTCCGCTATTAAATTTAAATTAATCACTTTTATCCACTCATTTACCCATTACTCATAAACTCACAATCGATGTATTTTAATATTTAAATTAAATAGATATTATATTAATCGCACTTTATATATTTTATTGTCTCTATAAAGTTGTGCTTTTCCTCTTACCTAATATAGTTTTCCTCGACATGATTATTACATCTGATCACATGCACTAATTTTAAAGAACTAATAAATCGAATCTGATTTTTGTGCAAAGTTCAATCTATTGTTGTTTATACCAATGTTTACAAATACAATAACTTCTCTTACAATTAGTTTGTTTACAATGCGATCGCACTTGTACACATATAAAATGAGAATGATAGCACATTTGGTCTTTCGAACACTCGTTGTTTACTCTGGTAAAGCAACGCGTATATGTGATGTTCTAAAATTCAACAAGACGCACATACATATACATCCGATATGTAGAGTTGTGTTGAAAAATAAAATATACCACGAGCTTCGGTCGTGATATGATTTAAATGCACTTGGTCACTTTATTAATGATCACCCTGGTTCATTGGAGAACGGGTTAATTGATAGTAGGGCCACATTTTATAAAAGTATTAATCTCTAAAACAGCAATATTAAGTTATGAGCCGAATCTGCAGTAAAATAGGCCAATTTTATCACAAGGCTATGCTACGTAGCATTTTAATATAAAGTGGTACTAAAAACTGTCAAGATGCTATGTGATTGATGTGCAGGCAGGAGTTTTAGATAAAAAACCTAAGCTAGATCAAGCACAAACGTCAAAAAAGTATCTTTGTGATGTGGCATAATAACATTACGAGTGAAGTTACAGTTTTAGTACAAATTTAATCTTATATGCAAAACACTACGTAACATAGTCTTACCATAACATTGGTCTATTTTTACCCCAGAATCGGTCCCTTAATTTCAAAAATTTAAACCAATAACTTTTACCCCTTTTATTAATTTTTTTACTAATTTCAGATAAACTAACTTAATAATAATTTAACTAACTTAGAGACAGTCCCTAGTGTCATATGTCTACCATAAATTAAAACTTAGAAAAAACTATTTTATAAAACACTCGTTTTATATTTCATATCCGACTAGTCAATAATTTTAGCACAACTACTGACACTAGTTTCTATCTATATCTGGTCTATGAAATTAATTGTCTAAATTGCAATTGAATTTATATTGGGGAAACAAGCCAGAATTTTATGACCACAACAATATTGACTATACAAAAATTCCAAACAATTTAAAACTATGCTTATAGAATACATTAGGATTTGAGAACATACTATACATTTTTTTACCCAACTGTAGTACGTTTTGAGGAAAATATTTATAAAAGACACAATTGTGATTGATCTTTTTATATAATAATGTACTACTGACACTAGTTGTTTATCTATATCTGGTCTATGAAACTAATTGCCTAAATTGCAATTCAATTTATATTGGGAAAACAAGCCATAATTTAATGTAAAGACTACAATATTATTGACTACAGACAATTAAAAAAAATCCAAACAATTTAAAACTATGCTTATAGAATACATTAGGATTTGAGAACATACTATA